TGTCGTTATCTGTAAATCAAGTAGATTGTTAGCTGTTTGTTTGGTTAAGTGTTGGCCTGTTGTAAGACCTAGCCGTATTCGTGTCGTTATCTGTAAATCAAGTAGATTGTTAGCTGTTTGGTTAAGTGTTGGCCTGTTGTAAGACCTAGCCGTATTCGTGTCGTTATATGTAGATCAAGTAGATTGTTAGCTGTTTGTTTGGTTAAGTGTTGGCCTGTTGTAAGACCTAGCCGTATTCGTGTCGTTATCTGTAAATCAAGTAGATTGTTAGCTGTTTGTTTGGTTAAGTGTTGGCCTGTTGTAAGACCTAGCCGTATTCGTGTCGTTATCTGTAGATCAAGTAGATTGTTAGCTGCCTGTTTGGTTAAGTATTGACCAGTAGTATGATTGAGCCGTATTTGACATTTTTATACACCTAATTTAAAAAACAAAGTTTATCTATGTATAAACTCATGTAGGGATTTAGTTTTTAGAAAAGTTTAGCAACATTAACCAGGTGAGATTTGGCGGAAATACAGTTAGTTGATCAACTTTTTTTTTTTTCAGAACAGCTGTGCTGTCTAATAAACTTGAGTTACACCAAAACATTTCACGCAATCACACAAAAATGTTCAGAAAAATACAGAAAATTGATGCGATTCGGAAAAGTAATACGACCACCTTTGTACATAAATACATGCAGGGTTAAACGTGAGTTAATCAACAACTACCACAGTCACAAAAATAAAGGTTTAACTTACACATTCTTCATTGGCTTATTCTAATAGATTCTATCCTGGTTGGAAATGAGTAGCGAGGCCATACTGAGGCTTCCGGGGGCAAGCTTCCTCGAAAACATTATAAATTTTCACTGAAAGTGGCGCTTGTGTCTATTTTAACGTACCCATATAAATATAATAATACTGTCTGTTGTATACCCACGTAACTACTTCGCAGGATGTGGATGGATCTTCACCAAAATTGGTATGGAAGTTCGTTAGGTCCATGTGGAGGTACATAAAAATTTTCAGTTTTGCATTTTGCGGTTTTTATGAGAGATTTTGTGTTTTTGACCACTACCTCACCTCCTGTAGATGGATCTTCACCAAATTCGGTTCGGAGGTTCATTAGGTCCATGGGAAAATATATAAAAATTTTCAGTTTTGCGGATTTTATGGGTGTTTTTGCGTTTCTTTTTACACCTACTTCGCTCCCTGTGGATGAATCTTTACTAAATTTGGCAGGAAGGTTTGTTGGGTGCATGGGGAGATACATGCAGATTTACGGTTACACATTTTGTGTTTTGATGTTTTTATGGTTATTTTTGCGTTTTTTAAAATTACATATAAGGAAGCAATTTTTCATGTCCTAAAATAACTTTTCATTAATCATGAATTTACATAACTTTCGTCCAGGGGACGGTTACTCCAGCTAGTCTATATAAATATAATTGTACTGTCTGTTGTATGTCCACGTAACTACTTCGCAGGGTATCTTCACCAAAACTGGTATGGAGGGTCATTAGGTTCATGCGGGAGTACATACGAATTTTTAAAAAACATCAAAACAATGGGCGTTTATTACTTCGCTCCCTGTGGATGAATCTTTACTAAATTTGGCAGGAAGGTTTGTTGGGTGCATGGGGAGATACATGCAGATTTACGGTTACACATTTTGTGTTTTGATGTTTTTATGGGCGTTTATTACTTCGCTCCCTGTGGATGAATCTTTACTAAATTTGGCAGGAAGGTTTGTTGGGTGCATGGGGAGATACATGCAGATTTACGGTTACACATTT